CAGCAGCGTGGTTAAGGGCAAAATCTTTTTTTAAGAAAACCACAACGAATTACAATTCGAAGTCGGTCCTGTGCGTGAATTGACAACGTAGTGTGTACTGCAGATATAGTGCAGTGCCGGTTATCGAATGTCTTAGATAATCAAACAATTTACTACTACACATAATGACTTTATTACGATAAAAGTGAGTTAAATAAGTACAGTGTTCCATTTCTTCCCCTTTATAATAAAATAATCAGAGCCGATGAGGATTAAAACAGATTTATTATAACAAAACTAGCACCGACGTATCGTCTCTAATTTGAGGCTTTTTCAAGGTATGTTTTTTAAATTGTCAACGTATTGCTTATTTAGTTTTATTATAATAAATCCTTTTTGTCCCCGATTTTATTAAAAAAGTAGATTTGTTTATTGTCGCTACCTGAATTACACCATACAAAAGAAAGGAAAAATGTAGGTTACATAAGCATTGTCAAGCGGGTTACTCTTTTTCTGGGTGGATCTCCAATAGCTCTATTATCCCACAAAAAATAATTATTTACTGATATTTGCTTGTAAATGAACTTACCGCTTATTATCGAGAAGGTACTGGTTCCGGAAACAAAATTACTAAAAATACGTACATACATATGTACACTACAAAAATACGTTTACCGAAATTATCTCTGAGTTGCTCAAAAATGTATTTCACTTGCAGCGAGCATCATGCGGCTGCATATTAGAGTTGTACGGTGGGGTTTGGTACACGCACTGTTTCGCCCCCAGACAGAGAATCCAATCCACAGTCCAGGAAACTGCTCGTTAAAAAACTCACGCTTTGCTCTTGCAATGTGAAGGGGTGGATATCATTTTAAAATAACATGACGTTTACGTAGTTGCGACGGTACATTCTCAAATACATTTAGTAGTTTCTGTTAAAAAGGTCAAATAAGTGGCGCAATTTATATGCGCAGGTAGAACGAACCGTCCGAATAGCGATCTCCGAAAATTTCGCATCATGCATTTACCGAAAACCGTTGTTAAATGATGCACGACAAGCGAATTTGCGTTACACCAATAATGATTATTGTGAAAATTTAAAATTCCGTCTCGCGTGGAGCAAATTTATCTGTAAACAAAACTTTATGAAAAAAAATAGGCTTTGCAGCACATTTCTTTTCGACACCGCTCCACTCGAGGCTGAAAATCAGTTTCAAGTAAGGTTTGCACCCGTTGCAAATAATAAGGATGCAGAAACTCTTCGTTTACTCTTTCCTTCCTGTACTATTTTGGTGGTCGTGTGGTATAAAATGAATGATTTCGTTCTTTACAGCGGCGACATGGTTGGTTCAAACCCGAAAATAATTGCATTTGTTTGTACTTTCAACTATGTTTTTTTTGAAAATGATGAACGTACGAGCATTTACTGATTTTCTTGTTTTATAGGGCCCTGTCACCTTCAAACTCCGCACTTACTTCTCTTACACCCTGTATATTCATATGTTTAGTAAATAGTAATATTGCAGAGTAAGAATTGTTTAAATGAAGATGAACGGCCGTGACAACTTTGTTTTCATCTGCAAATGCTCGCCATTATTTCATTTCCTTGAACACTTCTAAATATACTCGACATTAATTCGTGCATTTTCTAATGCACTTTATTTACATACATATTTCTTTTTCGTCTACTTTGATTTATTACACGATTATTCAGTATACAATACGTTCTTGAAAATTATATTACATTAAATTGAAACCTGCCAGGTAGATGGAGCCTAAAAATCGTGACAGAAACAAGTATGCAGTTTTGTACAATATTATGTATTTTTGTATGAGTAGTGCATTTTAAGGTCAAAAAGATGATTATAGAATTAAGACAATGCAGAGCAATATTCATCTTGATTTTATGCATGGACGTTTATCAACTTCTGCTTTATTAATCTTTCCATTAAAAAAGCTCAACCAGTTTAACATGTTGACGTGCCAGTATATTATAGTATGCATACTTTGTTATAGGGAGGTTTCTGGCAAAGCATACAATGAAGTAAAGAACTTGAAAATATGTACTGGTAAATTTGTTTCCGGTATCTATGAGGATACCGTGTATAGAGAAGGTTTGAAATGAAGAGGTATTAAAAAAAATGGGAGAACAGAGGACTCTATGAAAGTTAATGAGAAAAAAGCGAGATAGGTTGATATGACACCTTCTTAGGCATGAAGGTCTAGTCAGAGACATATTAGAGGCAGAAACGGGAGTTAGGAGGGCTAGAGGTAGACCTAGATTACCTATTTAGGTAAATGCGAAGATTAGCACAGGATAGGAAAGAGTGGAAGTACGTGTCCAACCAGTCTTAGGATTGACGACCTTATAATGATGAAGATCTATACAGTAGACCTAGGTTATAGCTTCAATATTATTTTGAAAATTTGACTTTTGTAATAACTTGATATGAACTTTTAATGTAATGTAAAGTAAAACTTCTGGTTATACCGGAAATAGGAACTAACTTTGTTATTTTAAATATATCTATATCACTGAAATTCTTAATTAATTTAAGGATAAGTTTTATGTTATGAACCTACCCGAAACCTAGACTGTTTAGGAAATAAACAACTATCTTCAATTTTGTTTTAAAAATAAAAAAACAATTTTCAATAATAACATTTTTAGTTTTCGAAATTTATACAGGGAAAAATCTAAAGCTGAAATTTCAAATTTATTTTACATATACATAGAAAATGTAACAAATTTGTTGTTCGAACATGACGTGTTTTTAACGAAAAATATCCTGACAAACCAAATACGGCAGGAGATAAGTTGAAAAAAATTGAATCAAGATATTTGTAACTTGGAATTACTTCGAGAAAGGACTATCAGAAACCACTTACCAATACTGGAAAAATTGAAACACAAGTTTAGCTTATTTTCCTGCAAAAAAGAATTTTCGCAAATGTCTTTTCACATAATATCAAAAGAGTATCGTTTTCTATTCTTACCTACAATTGCCAGGCCACTTGGAAATTATTGCTACTATTGTTTATTGAACATTAAGGTTTTGCAAAATGCTTTTTTTGATTTTTAAGACTTATGTAGCGAAAACGGTAGTAAACAGGAAAAAAATATATAGACATTTTCTATAGAAAATCGAATTCTCATATAAAGGTCTTAGGTTATGTAGAACAGATTCGAATGTATAGCGGTTCGAACGCACGCTCAAAAATAAACCATCCTCTTAGCATTACGGCAGAATTCGCCGAGCGACTATTTAGTTGACATTAGAAAAAAATAGTTTCATTTGGTAAAATCTGTATAAATGAAATTTAGTAATGAATAATACTACTAAATACTATACTACAAACCAAAAGTGCATATTTAGCCACTTTTCTTCAAAAAATATAACTTTCGCTTTGGACCAGCCATTCTAGCGAAGGATTGCTGAACAACTTCGGAAACACATTTTACACTAACTATGTGTTCCTTGTGGTGAAGGCAATAAACGATGGAATTTTCCATCAGTTGTAAGTAGCCAGGCCTCTCTAGTAAATGATACTGAAGAAAATTGTGCAGATAACTTTTGATGTGACCGAGTGGGATGCCGAGAGTCTTGTAGCTTTACCGATATTTTTAGAATTGGTTTGAATGGTAAAGCGGAACTGTTACATCAGAGTTGTCGTTATAACCGATGACGTTATTATCAGGTTCCAGTGTATTTTAATGAGTATCCCGTTTTGGACGCATATGGAGTAATTCACTTTTTATTTTGAGCTGAGACATATGTCCTAGAAGTGAACGTTATTTTATTGTATTTTAGGAATTAAGAGTAGGTATAATAAGAGGTTCTTCATGTGAATTTGTGGAATATAAACCTGTAAATACAGCACATGAACAGAATAACAGACTTAGATCGTTTTACTTTGCAGAAACGAATATAGATAAGTAATTACAGTAATAAGATTTCGGTTTGCTACAAGGTCAACCCTTATAGAAACTTTTTTCGGGTTGTAGGTACCTATAACGATTCCGTGCCAGCTCGAACTGGCGGGTACGGCGCAAGTATATTAAGCGTCAGTCTTTGACGATCAATACTTATGTTAGAGGTTTTTCTGTTCTACAGCCGACGCGACGCCGTGTTGTGCCCGAATTCTATAGCAGTTCGCGTGATATTAAAGAGTATAGGCATCGGTCTCCTCAAGATACAGAAATAGACTTGGTTATTACGTAAACACGCGCATTTTCCTTCTTTCATAGTCCTTATAGATCATAAAAGTTATTTTCAATTGAGATGTTGTGCAATATTGAAGTTATAAGTTATGAACTTTGATATTCATCGTCAGTGTTTTGGAAGAATTGTGAACGATTCATCTAGCAAACATTAATGTGTGTGCTTGCATTCAAATTCATTTTGTCGAAGAAATCGGAAAAAAGGAACAAAATGAGGTACAATTGGTTATCTTTAAATGGATGAACAGTTGCAATAATAGGCTACCAGTAAAGAGTACTTGGAATTAGTAATCAAATTATTGAACATATCTACGTATAATGTTCTGGTAGTAAATCGCAAAGAAAATTATAAAGAAGAAGTATAACGAATAAACAAAAGTAAATATAAAATATAAAATGCCAAATATGACGGATAATAAGGCTGTTGAAATTGCTCGTAACGGTCACGAACTTGCGCCATTAAATAGTTCACGCACCACAAATCTTGAAGGGAGAAAGCCTGGTGTTACAATAGTATTACAAGGATCTCGCGGATCTATTATCTCAAGAGGAAGTGCTTCTAATGAAGTTGATCCAGACAGGGCGGCATGGTCTGGAAAAATGCAATTTTTCTTGTCCATTATTGGATATTCGGTTGGTTTGGGAAACATCTGGCGATTTCCTTATCTTTGTCAACAAAATGGTGGAGGTGAGGTATTAAATCTATCAATTTCTTTTATAAGAATTATGAACCTGTATTTCTGGATTGTACATATGTATTTAATTGATATATTGAATACGATTGTTTCAATTGTTATACAATAATTTCCAAGGTACCTAATAACAATACCGCAATGTTAAACTAAATAGGTAAACAGTAAAGTTGTAACAATAAAAGTCCAGTAGGTACCTATAAACAAAATTCTGATAGCGTAATTTGAAATTATATCAGGCTTTGTTGCCATTTGCACTTACTAAACAAAAACTAACTAAAGACAATGTAAAAAAGTATTTCAGTTATATATATTTTAGTGAACACAATTTGGAACGACCAATCATTGAATTAGAGATGTGCCGTTAATATCACAATTAAAATGTTGACTCAGATTCATTATAATAACACAATGATAATTTCAGAAAATGTAGATCAAAATTTAATGTCTATGTGCTTGACAATTGTACGTACAACGCATTATTCGCTTTTATATGGACTTCTTCAAGTCCGCTTGATAGTATGCATGTACCTATGTCGTCTTACATTTTATCTTTGCGTACATTCACAACATTATTTTGGAAACAGATTTTATAAATATGTACTTAATTGTTATTAAATACTCCACTTTTTAGTAAACTGTATATTGTACTTTGTAAAAATGTAATAGGTAAATATCCAATGATATATATATCTATATAGGGGACGAAACGTTGTTTAATAGAAATTATTGCCTACACATTAAACACTCCTTTACATTTCCTGAAGAATCTTTAATTTTGTTTAATTTAATGTGCGTCTGAATAGAACACACGGTAAAGGTCAAGATGACGGCCCCCACCCCCTTCGGGGGTACCTGAGTAAAACGCCATAAAAAATTTGCAGCGGTCTCACCCCCATAAAAAGTTATAGGGGTTGAAAGTTGATTATTTTGATGGGGATCGAAAGAGGGTGGTCACTTGAACAAAACCCGATAACCTAACCTAGCCTTACCTAACCTATTGATAAAGATATTTACCTAAATAATGTTTTATATAACTTTCTCGATATTTTTATGTATTTTTCATTTGTTTTANTACTCAGGTGACCACCCTCTTTCGATCCCCCCTACCCCCTTCCGGGGTGGAGGGTCATCACCTAACCCCCATAACTTTTTATAGGGGTGAGACCACCACGAACTTTTTATGGTACAGTGGTGGGGGAGACCTCCTTTTTCGATCTTTACCGAACACACTGTTTGAGAAAATTAATGTTGAAATTTAATTTGATTAGCAATGAGACGTTTTGAATTTTTGTAGGGTTAAAATTCAATGCATTAGTTAATTAATATTTTTGAATTAATTTTTACCTAACCAGGGGTCCGGGATTGATTCCCGGCGAGGGAGTGACAGCAAGAACAATTTTTACTCATTAAGTTGAGGTTATCTGTAGTGGGTAAAAGTTAATTCAAAATGTAAAATCACCAAATTTAATTTTTTGTTGGCAATTGGGATCCGTCAAATGGGTATACACCATCTGGTGGCAAAATTTATAACTCGAATGAGGGCAAAATTTACATAGGAACTGTTCACGCAAATTGTAAAATTGTTTATTAAAATAATAAAACACGTTAAAAAAGTAAAAATTTTTTTGATGATGGAGTCGACGAAGTTTTCTTCTAAAGTTAAATCAAATAAAAAGTTAATATGTTCAGTGAAAAGCTGCAATAGCACTTCAGACATAGATCTTCACTCTTCACCTACATTAACTACTTTCCAATAAAAACTAACCGTTTTATATATGTAAAAAATATATTCGGAAAATTAGAGAAAAAAGTAAACTAATAGAAGCTTGGATGAAAGCAGTAGGTATCAAAGAAGTGAATTCCGGAATAAAAATTTGTTCACGTCATTTTAATGCACATGATTATATTTCAGCAAGTATTTACCATCAGCCATAACCTTAATATTTAAAACTAGAATCATACTAAAATTATAAAGTGAGAAATTATTTATTCCTGTGTAATTGATTTAACACAATTCTAATGATACGATATAAGTATTTTGAGGTTAAGAACCTACCTGCTGCAATACAACAAAGTTGCAATAATGTGTTTGCAACGTTCTCTTAAATCGGCTTTGCACGTGCAAGTCATTGATATGATATTGCTTAAATCACCCAGAATCACCTCACCAATTATATAACGTGAATCACTTTTTAAATCCGAAGTTTGTAAAAAGTAGGCAGTAAACTTGACGGAATTTGAAGGCTAGCTTCCGGATTTGTTATTTCCGAATTTTATAATGTGATTGGCATTAAAAACACGCTCACCTTCAACGAAATTTCCTTTCCGAGGCTTTGTGTCAGCCCAATCACATATTGTGTCAATACTTATCATTTTATCGTAATTTAAAAACTTGGAAATTGCACGGTACACTATAGGAACTACGATAAATTTTCCCTAATCGGCGCCATGTTTTTAGGCTCCTCCCATTTGACGGATCCCAATAGGTAAAGATTTGTCTTATAAGTCAATGTCGTATAATTATACGTAAAATCAAAATGAATTAATGTTTACCAGTATGTAAAAAATTGTGGTTAGGTGATCGATGCGTGTCACATGGGTATTCAATTATAGCAAAATCGTTTAGATGGGGATAGCCTAGGCGCTATCGGTGCATAAGTAATAAAAACTTTTTGGATATAATTTTTTGTGACACTTTCCAATACCAATATACCAATTATATAAATACTGTTCGACATAGGGTGATATGCTTATTTTAATTGTTTCCTGCTTAGTATTCCAATGATAAATTGTTGTTTTCTATTTTCTAGGTGTGAGGTGAACTGTTTTAGTGACATTTGAGGTAGAGGCGATACCTTCAGAATAAACCATAGGTAATGCTTTTGATTGCGACTCGGTAAAGTCATGCAATTGACAACTTTCAGAAATCCGTAACACTAAATGCATATTACATCATCAGTAAATTTTTTATAATAATGTTTTTTCTTCGGTTGTACATAGGAGTAAAGTTATTTAATTATTATATTTTTTTAAGGTTAATTAAATTGAGTTTAATTTTAATTTAACTAAGAATTATCTAATATTCAACCCTTAGAATTACAAACTCCCTATTATTTTAAAAGCTGTATATTATGGTCACTGCATACAGAGTATAAAAGAAATAAATGTGGAGCATTGGAGGGTGTAAGATGTAGTAAGGAATCACACGGTGAGTTCAGCAGCGTGGTTAAGGGCAAAATCTTTTTTTAAGAAAACCACAACGAATTACAATTCGAAGTCGGTCCTGTGCGTGAATTGACAACGTAGTGTGTACTGCAGATATAGTGCAGTGCCGGTTATCGAATGTCTTAGATAATCAAACAATTTACTACTACACATAATGACTTTATTACGATAAAAGTGAGTTAAATAAGTACAGTGTTCCATTTCTTCCCCTTTATAATAAAATAATCAGAGCCGATGAGGATTAAAACAGATTTATTATAACAAAACTAGCACCGACGTATCGTCTCTANTTATCTACCCATATTTCTTCAAATCAAAATATCTCTTTTTCTCTCACTGTTCAAGTTCTCATTTCGGTTAAGCATCTTTCAAATTTGTCAATTTTCTCACCATTTTTCTTAGAAAATTCTCTTCTTGTTAGTTAAATGAATTATTTACTATATCTAGCTACATAATCCATTAACTTTTTGTCCGAAGCATTAAGGTCTTGATTTTGTTTTATCAACATGTTCTTTATTGGGTTTGTCTTCTTTCTAATCTTTTTATTCAATGTGTTCTTATTGCGTTATCTGATTGTCGAACGTCTTTCTGACAGTGTCTTACAATTAGTCATTTATTTCTGAGATGGTAGATCTAATGTATTAGTGAATTTTTCAAGTCAATTGAGTTTCCTTTGGATTAATACTGTATTGAGGCACTTTTTCCGTTATTTGCTTTCATTTATTTGCTTGATGTTCTGGTTCTTATGTTTGATTCGATGTGTTTGTCTCGTAGTTACTGCCATATTCTGATTTTTCAATTCTTTGATGACCGTTGTTTCGCTCTAAACTAGTATACAGTGAGAATTGAGCACAAATATTTCGGAATGGAATGTAGATGGGTGTCTAATCTTTAATAAGACGAAACTTCATTCAAAAGAGTTGTAATCAACATCAGCATCAGCCTTCTGTATTTCAATTTTTTTTTGTAAAATATACTTCTGTTTCCGTCATGACATTAATTGCGTACTTAATATGGTGGCGTACTGTTTGCGTACAGGGGTGAAGGAACATGCATTTCGGCATCATTTCTTCGAATTGATAATTATTCTAACAAGCACTTTATCTTTACGTATCTTCACTTATTTTCGGCTACAGCAAAAATCGTATCTAATTCTTTCAATATAAAGGCTTATGCTAGTAAGTAATTTAAAAGATGTTATTCGACAATTTTGCAAACCCCACAATGAGTCTCAATTCCGATAGTCAACTATCATCAACATTTTTTCGAACCGGGACAGAAACTTGATAGTGGTGCCCCCTCTTTCCAGCGTTGGAGATAAATTTTATGTTTATGTTTATGTTTTATATAAATGTTAAGAAAGACACAAATATATAATGGATGACATTTTTCGTGAACAGGACAGTAAGAACCCTTCAATGAATTTTCACTTTTTTATCTATTACTTAACCTTTTTATTTATGTGACTCTAATTTTGCTACAGCATTACACGACGTGCTTTCTTTTCTCCAAAACAATCGATTTTGTTATTATACTTAGTATTGCTGTTTTCGAATTATATTGAACACCATGTAGTAGGAATATTTTTCTTGTAGCGTGTCCGATTCTAAAGCAAAACCGTCGCTTGCCGACGCCAAAGAATTGTAAAGGGGATTATTTTTCGCCTACTATTCAGACCTTAGGCTTAATAAACCCCTGGGAGATGACGCAACAGAATCTTCCCCAGTCTAGTGTCATTCCAAAAAGTGGAAGTTGGCGAGTCAAAATT